AAAAATCTTTGTTGACAAAAAAGAAAAAAAAATTAAAAATCCTTAATTTGTGATATTTTAAAAATGGATAAATTTTTTATGACATTTTTTCTTGAGCTATCCATGAGTTCCATTTTACCATCCTAAAAAACCCCCAAAAACTTAAATAATGTATTTCATGTTTTTGTTCTCTAGTGATATCTAATCAGTGGATATCTTTTAATATCTAACCGCGACTTCTACTTGTCTCGTCCTCTCTTGATGTGTGTAGAATTCATAAATTTTGGCTCTTGAGCTTTTTTAGGATGGCAAAATAGAACTTTCGGATTTTAGTTTAGATTGATTGTCTATACCCGATGAATCACTACAAGCTTTTTTAGCTTGACATTGAGCATGCATGATGGGCACAACAAAACTAACCATGCTTAACCAACCTGATGTTTACTCCAAGTGGAGAAAAGTAAAAAAGCCGCTTAATCTATTCACCAAATATTTCAGAAAAAAAGATTGATGAATGATATAATCTGATTAAGACTATATGAGGCATCAGTAAAAGAGGAATGAAGAAATAGCACCATAATCTCTTAAATGAAATAGTGCAAAACTAAACATGTAAGCACCTTGAAACCACGATGGTAAGGTATTGCTCAAGTCAGAAATGAAAAGGAAGAACAGATGCGGAAAGTACCAAGTTTGACTCTTTGATCAAGAATTTTTTTGAATGTATTTGAACATTTAAATTCGCGCATATTTAGATTAAAAGTATCTAGTCTCGGTTTTTTATACGAAAATCCAAACTGTGTGCGCGTTTGACCACTCAGCCTTCTATAAGATTCTTTCTTCACGGTGTGGCCGAGGGATGAAGACCGATTGCATAATCGGTCAAATTACTTGGACTATTGTAGATCGTGTCTTAATATTGCTAGAGCCGTCTCAAAATATCAATTTCATAATTGACACTAATATATCGTTTAAACTAACTACACGTTACAGTAAAAGATTCACTAAAATTTTGAGAATAGCCCAAACAAATTATGACATTTTTTTTAGTGAATAAAATTTTAGATAGTTAGTAATAATTTTCTTAACTAGGAAAAGATAATTAAATTAAAAACAACTAGATACAATTTAATTGTTGATTTTTGTAGTAGTTTTATCTGTAAATGTGATCTAAATATAGTACAATTTTTTTTTCAAACATTCTATTTTGTCGTTTGATATCTCTTGTATCCAATTTATTATGAACTACAAATCGATTTCTTACCGTCCAAAGATCACTAATCAGAAGTTTCTGGAAAAAAAAGTTATCAGTGATCAGTACAATAATTAACTTAAC